ATAAAATGATTAATAATATAAAAGAATTTTCTGGCGACTTCTGGGTTTTTTGCGTAACCTTCATTTAATTTATTTCTCTTGTCTTCACCGTCTTCACCGTCTTCACCGTCTTCGTCATCTAACGTGACGCAGTCAACATGCCTTCTAGTCACGTGTATCACATGATCTTTTGTATCAATATCTTTCTATAACAATATAATACTTTATTAATAATTATTAGATTATTTAATAAAATTGTTATAGTCTTTAGAATTATATATTTTAACAAAAAAATAGAATAACATATTTTTAATTCAAAATTTTAATCAAACTGAACTAATTTCAATATATAACATTTTATAAAGAAGTAAAATGATATATTTAATTATCTTAACAAATATTTTTATATAAATAAAATTTTAATAATTTATAAATTTATATTTAAAGTAATTAATTAAATATTTTATGATATTACTAAAGTTGATAAATTATTAATAGTAAAAATTTTTGTTTTAAAAAAGATTTTATTAAATAATGCCTATCATATCACATATTTTTTATATTAATATTATCTTAGTAATCTTACATCATTCATTTTTGTAAAGATATATAAAAGTAATAAAATTAATTATTAATATGAGATTTTATTAAATTAATAAAAATACTATCATAATATTATAAAATTTAAATCTTCAAAAGGATAATAGAATCTAATTAATTTATTATAAGCTTTATAGAAAAACAATTGATACAAAAATTATTACAAAATTATATATTGATAAATAATTTTATATTAGATCATATTATCACCTTCTAATACTAATTTACTATTTATTTTAAAATAATTTTAATTTTCAATGTGTATTATATTTTAATAATCATTAATAAATTTTAAAGTCAAATATTAACTATATAGATCTTTATTTATTATAACCAATTTTCTTTCATAATCATTATGTTACCTTATCAAGAATTACTTTATACTAATCTTTTAAAATTCTTATAACTAATAATAGTTAAGAATATCAAACAAAAATATTGTATATTATAAAATTTTTCAATTAAATTTACATACTTAACTAATTAATTAGAATTTAAACTCTGACTTCTATAATGTATATAAAAAAATAAGTTGCTATTAACTAATTAGATATATGCTAGTAATATCATCAAGTTTTCACCTTACATAATCTCAAATTATATGTCACAAAATATCACACCCTCTACATTTTCATTTTTACTATGTATTCTGAATTTTTTAGTGAAAAATTCTATTTGTAACTGTATTTGTCATATGGTTAATTTTGGTCAAGTTATATAATAAATCATGAGAAGTGAAAAATTTGGTAATTTTTTAATTTATTATGGAAGTTTCTATCAATCTAAATAAGTCAAAACAGAAAATTTGAATACTGTTAATTATCAGAACCTTGCAATTTTATAATATCTTTTACGATAATTTTATATTTCTGATAATGCAAGCATATATTTTATATAAATCATATGTTCAGATCTTAACCCTAACCCTAACTTTTGAGATGTAACCCCAAATGACAGTCATTAAATTGACATTGTAATACTATTTACAATCATTTTGATTGGTGATCTCAATTAAATAACTAGTACAAAAAATACATTTCACGAAGTTTTTTAAAAAAATTTGTTCTGATAAATAATTTTATGTATACTGTATTAATTTTTTTTACTTACAACTTGCAAAAATAGATAAAATTTATAATTATCCTTTTAATTCAGTTATTAAGTTTAAATAACTAGGACGTAATTTTTCATATAAAATTATAAAGAAAGAAACATATCCTAATAAAGAATCATTAGCTTATACTCTTCTGTTAAACAAGTATCATATTCCTGATGACTATATTATAGAAACAATTTAGGGTAAAAGTATAAATCAGTATACCATTCAATGTCTTATTAATTATAATGATAGTAAGCAGTTTTTCAAGTCTGGTTTAAAAAATGTTTTGAAAGTAAGGTTTCTTTGATTAAAACTGCTACAGATGCTACAAATTTATTTCATAAAGTTTATATATTGAAATATTTATTGGTATTTTTACTTTCTTATGTCAACTAACTAAAATTCATTTTTTGTAGTATTATACTTCGCAAAAGGGAACTAAGACATCAGGCATTTATTTATTTGATCTTTAACTTAAAATATTAGATAAGATAAGAGATAGAAAATAATGTGTACGTGTGTTAAAGCAAATTAATCAATGTGACAATTCTACTCTTATAAGATGAGTTACATCTATTGAAAAATATGTGTTAGCCAAATTCAATGAAAAAGTACCAAAATTTTACAATGTGAAAGAAATTCCAGTATTGAAAAATATATATTACTTGTTAAAAATCATGTCTTTGATATCCATTATGATGAAGATAAGGCTAAAAAAACAAAAAATTGAATTAGTAGTTAGAGCATTAGACGAAGAAAACATTTCAAGGGAATCTTATTAATGTTTGTGTGCTATAGAATCTCACCTACCTCGTGAAGGAGCTGTATCTAAAGAACGTCAAAAAATAAATAAAGATATAGTCCAGTTTATACTAATATCTATAGTAGATATAAATATTAAAAATTAAGTAGATCAATCTGAAGAGGAAGATATAGAAAATGAAGATATAGTACAAGAAGTAATTAATGCAATAGGTAAAGGTGATTACAGAAATATTAAAGATATTTTGTAATATTTAGTTCCTGATCTTATTCAGAAAAAGGTTTTAAATCTATATCACCCAATAATTAATCTTCGAATTTTTAGTGATAGATGTAACATTGAAAAAAAATAAGCATGTAATGGTTATGGTAGCTATTTTAGATGACAAAAATACCTTACATAAACTAAGTCATCATCACACAATTATTCTTTATTCCAGATGTAAGAATTATGATTCTTTATCAAATATAATAGCTCTATTTTATCACGATTTAAGAAAACTAAAAAAAGAACAAGAGTTAGTTATTAATAATATAAGATGGAATTTTTAACTTTATTTTTCATCTAACTGGAAGTTTTTAACAATTTGCCTAAGTTTTAATGGTGTTCATAGTAAGAATTTTAACCTTTGATGTATAATTAGCAAATCACAGTAGGGAGAACTATCAAAAAAATGGACAATTAGCAAGAATATAAATAAATTAATTGAAAAAAATAATTATTATGAAGGACATTTCAGAAAACCCCCTTTTTTATATGATACCACTTACTCACTGGATTCCTGATGAATTGCATGTGATGCTACAAATTACTGATTGATCGTAAAGTCTTTTGATGGTAAAACTAATAGAACAAAATTCATTTAACAATACCGCATGACAAATTATCATAAATGAAATGAAAAAAATTAAAGTTACTTTTAATTTTGGCAAAATTAGGGATCTAAGACATGGAGTTATACCTCTCTGATGAGAAATGATAAACTTAAGGTATTACAATTTTTTGATTTGTCAAAAATCCTTTTAAGGTGATGCATTGCTATAGTACAAGATTTATAAGATAAATTTCATGAGCTTTATATAAAAATGAAGGATCCAACAATAAAAGCCAAAGATTTTAAAAATGATACAAAGAATTGGCTTACTTTATTCTTGACACCATCTGAAGGGATTCCAAATACAGATTTAAAAAAGGCTTATATCAATCAGATAATATAACTCTATATATTCATGTTTTAGTTCATCATATTTTCGAATTTATGATAATTCACCAAAAATGCAAATTGAAGGTTTTTTTATGTAGTGGTATTGAAAAAAAAAAAATTTTAGTATTACGTGATGCAAAATAATAATGGTAAATCTTATTTGCACTTAATTAAATTTATTATAGCATTTTTTATTATTGATTAAAATTAAATTCTTTTAATTTCTAACATAATATATATATATTTTATCAAAAAAAGATATTTTACATAGCTTATTTTCACTAAATCATGGCCTGACTATTAAAAAAATGAAAATAAATGTGTCCTGCTTGAGTAAGATTACCGTTGAAATCAATATTTTTTTGTTGCTTCTATTCTACTATAAGCTACTCACATTCGTATCTTGATTTACACTGTTTGGTGACTTATAAAATAGGATTTTTATCATCAGATTCAATATTATCATTATCACAAAGTATAACGTAAGTACGTTAACATTGTTCATAAAATTTAACTCATTATTCTTGCATTTCTAGAATATCTGCCAATATCTGGTTTGCTGAAACTCTACGAAATATACATTTGTAAATGTTCCTTCTAGTTGAATAGTAATGTATATGATTCTTAAATACCATGTAAAATTGACTTTCAGTAGCAAGTACAGCGACTATTTGTTTGCCTAATTTTTATACCCTCTTGGTAGTTTTTTGCGAATATAGTGAACTAAAATTCCTTTAAACTGTCATATTGTACTTTTAAGCAGAATGTCAAGATCTGAATGTGAAATATTGTATTTTTTAACAATATTAAGATGTCTTGTTAATCCACTTTTACTTTTAAACACTTTCCTGCATACAACACACTCAAAACCTAAATCAATAGTAGTTGTTGGTAAAGTTATTGGTATTATTAGAGGTGAAGCAACACAATTAGAGACTTCAGATTGAATCATACTGCTTAAAGTATAAAATAAATAAGTTAAATAAATATAATAAGTTAAGTAAATATAATTTTGAAGAACATTAAGCCAAGTACACTCTATATGATTTACATTTAAGGGAGATGGGTTTTCTGGTGAGGAGATGACTACCGTTAGTAAAAAATTTTTTTTAGGGTTTTTTTTTTGATAAATACGTCAAGTGATGGACATATGATGTGGTGTAACAATCACAATGATCAATAGTAATTTAGAGTCCTTAATTTAGGTCCAATGCTAATTTTAAGCCGATATGTATTATTATTAAAAAATAGTGTAACAGAAATTTTCACGTGATTTGTGAATTTAGATTATCATCGGACCACATTAATTAGTCATCTTGCTACTGATAATTCATTCTCCATTTATCATAATAATAATGATACTTTCAAGATGTCGTATAGAACATCGTTCTTTTTGCAAGTTTATGAATAAAAGAAGGTTTTCAAGTTCTCTGATTGGTAAACAATATTATATTTTCTATCTAAATATAGTTAAATTGTGGTTAAATAATATTAATGTTTTTATAGGACAAAAGCAATTTTTGTTGTTGGCAACAGATTATACCGATGCGGAAGCATATTCACGTAGATTATCAGCTAGAAACGATCATTTAGCAAGAGCAAAATTAGCAAAAGAACAAGGAACTATTGTACTTGGAGGAGCGATTTTAGCAAATGTTGAAAACAGTAATACAGAGGGAAAGATGATAGGAAGTTTAATTATATTTGAGGCAGAAAATGAAGAACAAATTAGACAAGAAATTGAGAAAGATCCTTACGTTATCAATAAAGTATGGGAGAAATATGAGATTTATCCATTTAAAATGTAAGTTTATTTGATTATTACAATATTTTTGTCGGTCCGTTATTATTTTTTTTTTTTTAATGAAATAATATGAAATAATAGGGCTAAACTTATTACGGATTAGTTCGAGTTTTTTGAGCATCATTACTTGATTTAAAAACCTTTATTTTAAATCCGATTTAGTTATTGTAAAATTTGTTTAAACAACATTGATTTCTTTTTAATTCGTGTTTTTGGTAAAAATAAAAATAAAAAAATAAAAATACACCCTGTTGATTCAAAGATATTTAAAACACTTATTATTTAACCTTTTTGTAAAGTTACAATAGAATAATATTGTAACCTTGCTCTTTACGCTTTTGGTGTTTTTGTGCATGAATATGCATATTTATTTATCAATAACAAATAATGATTTAAAAAAACGATTAATTTTTGACGATCTATTATTATATCCATGGTTACTTATACCATTAATTTTTAACAATCTTAATTCCGTTGTTTCTTCACCTTCACCTTTCCGTTTTTTTACTTTCCTTTTTAACTTCATATGCTAGACACTCTTTATATTTCCCAACGGGCAGCTAACGCCATTATAGCCGACGTCGCTCCTTACCGCATCTCATCCGAAGCTTTATTGGCAATAAATAATTTACTTGATGAATTCTTATATTTCCTAGTAGATTCGGCCAGGTCTTTAGACTTGGTTAAAATTAAACTTGCCATTGGTCAAGTCTTACCTACAAGTTTGGGTAAAAATGCTGTACAAGAAGCTGAACTAGAGTTAAAAACTTATGTGGAAAGTGGTAATTCTGACCACACAAAAGAAAAAACCATAGAAATTACTCCTTTTCCCTTGCAAAAAGTTTTCGAACAATTCAGATTAAGATGTCAATTCTTTAGTACGCTTGGTGAGCGTGGTGCTGACGATCGTGATCGTGATACTGTTCCCGACCTCTACTCCTCTGAAGGAATACATATTGCTCCAAGTTTAGCTATTTATTTAACTGCTGTCTTGGAATATGTTGGTGAATATATCTTAATATTAGTCGCAAAAGCTTCCGAAAAGCAAGGGGTGGAAGTTGCTAGAGCACAGGAAGTTTATTCTGCTCTCTCTGAGGATTTACAGATTTTTCCTTTATTCAGAAGAACAAACTTAAAGGAACAAATGGAGGTACCATTGTGAATTTATTTTACTAATCAATTAAAGATCTAAAATTGAACGCGTGAAATCAAATTTTATATAATAATTCTTATATCATTCATTAACTTATTTGAATTAATTAATTCAATTTATTATAATTTCAGAGCGATTCTACACAACCAATTACAAGTACTGGTCTTTTTTCTTTTTTTTTTTTTCTCGTTAATAATAAATACGACATTATTTTATGAATTATTTATAATAAATTACAATATATATATATATATATTTTTCACTATAACAGCTACGAACGATTTTATTATCAATGGTTCGACTCATGTTACTTCCTCTCAATTGTCAACGTTTACTACTTCTGACCCCTCGACTAAACCACCTATAACTGGTAAATTAAAAAACTTTTATAATTTCTATTAGTACTTGTTAGCACTTATTGTAATTTTTTTACTACTTGCTTGTTTTTAGGACATATACAATCTAAACCTGGTTCAAATAATGGACACATGAGAGGAGGAAAGCAGGTTTCTTTGGATGGATTTGACAAAGATGTTAAAAAAAGTCCTACTTCCCCAGTTAAATCACTTAGTGATTATGGTAGGCAAAGTTCAGATTATAAAAATATGCGTTCCTCTAAGAGTATGCAAAGCTTACAGGGACAAGGAGGAGATAAAGAATCAGATTTGAGAAGTGTATCAAGTATGGTAGGTCAAAAATTTTGAAAAATTTGCTAAATTATTATCTCGTCGAATTTGATATTGTAGAAGGCTTTCGTTTATACCAACACTTGTGTTTGATTATTAGGAGGATAGTATTGAAAAAATGAGGAGTTTTGAGACTTTAATTTCCAATAATCAGACAATGAAAGTTTCCTTAACACCAAACCGATTAATAACAATTGAGGTAGATTATATTATTATGAAAAGATTTTCTTACTCTTCAACTTTTTTTATTTCGATATGGATATAATATATTTATTTTTTGTCTCACATGTATATATATTCCTCACGGTAAATTCTCCATCCGAACAGACGCATAAGAGACCGCCAAAACTTGCACCTCGTGAACCTGTTTCCCGCGATCCAACTTCTCTTTCAAACCCTGAAGAAAGTTATTTTGATGTTGATGATGATGATGATGTATTTGGAAAACGTAAATCTAGAAAAGATAAAGAAAGTTTATTGGATTTTCTAAAGAATACAAGTCCAGATGATCCTAATGGTAAATTAAAGAAAAAAGATTCTAAAGCTGACCTTCCTAAAAAACTTGGAAAAATTATTGATAAATTGGAGCCTGTTTCTGAAAGACCTAAGACACCTGGTTCACCAGGAAGTAATTCTCGTCATACTCCACTTATTTCTCCCTCATATTCATCTTATTATTCTGATCGTATCAATGCTACTATTAATAAGACTTTATCATCATCACTGGCAAGTGACGATCAAAATCAAAGTTTTACCTCCTCTCCAACAACATCTTCATCCTATCTTTCACCGTCATTGCATTATAGCAAATCTTTCGATCAAACACAGTCTTATTATAACAATGCTCCTTCGAAACATAAATCAAGAACAGACCCTTCGGACTTATTAGATGATGAATTGTATACCGAAGGTCAAAAGGTACCTAAACGAAGACATCAGGCTCAAGATTTAATTGATTTCTTGAGTACATCACCACCAAAAGAAACTATTTCATTCAATAATAATAGTAATGATAGTCTTGGTAATAGCGGAAAGAAAAAAGAAAAGAAATTAAAAAAATTATTTTCAAGATTGAAAAAAGCTTCGTTTATTGATGAATCTACGCCGAATCTTAATGATCAAAGATCTTCTAATGCTAGTATAAATAGTTTTTATACCCATCGTTCTAATTCAGGTAGTACATTAGTCAATAAACCCGCTAGATATGTTAAAATTGAAATACCTAAAATTCCACCAAAGGAAGATAATCAGGAACAAAGTATTTTTGATCAAGTTGAAATTCAAGGAAGGCATGCTCGTCAAGTATCAAGAGCTAGTTTATCAGGTTCATCACGTAATTTACAATATACTCCTAACAGATCTACATTTTCTTCTACTGGCGGAATGACAAGCCCAACAATTTTGGAAAAAGAATCTAGCAATAGCAAATTGAATTCAGATGATTATAAAAATGAATGCTTGGGAACAACAGATCGGTCAAAACAGTTTCAGAAGTCTTCAAATATATTAAATATTCAACCTATGAACACTTCTGTGTCACAATCCGGTACTAATAATAATATTTTAACATCGCCTGCACATAAAATTCCTTCACCTATCACGCCTAAACAAAAATCTTATAACAATAATGTTAATAGTCAGATATCATCACAAGAGATAAATAAAGTCAAACCAGATTTATCCAAAGAACAAAATACACATTTTTCAGCGGAAATACTTTCAATTAACAATGAAAATATTATAAATGAAAATGAAGTTCGAACAAAATCGGAAGCGGTAGAGATATTGAAAGAATCTGTGAAGCATAAAGAAGCCCTTTCATATGATAGCTTCTTAGCATCCATAATTGAGACGGAAATCTCAATTCAAGAAGTACAAGAAGAAACAACATTTGATACATGTAATGAAGAAGAATTAGAAGAAGCTCTCATTGTTGAGTGGTTGTTGGGAACCGGTCTCACTTTTAAAAGTACAATGACGTATATAGATGTAATGCAAGTTTATGAGGTTAGGGAAATGGAAGAATCCGATTATGAAGATGTTGATACCAAATTTATTGATGGCGGTAATAAAGAAGAACAAATTGCTAATAAAGTCGTTCAAGTTGGGCATGAAGGGTAATGAATTATACTTTTTTTTAAAAAAAAATAACTTAATTTGATTGGTTTCTGGTATTATATTATTATTATATATTATTATATTATTATATTATTATTATTATTTTAATTATTTACTTTTATAGAATATTTGAAAATTTAACAAATTTTTTTTATTTTTTTTCAAGAAAATAAAAAAAAGTTATATTTTCTATACCTTTACTGATTTTTTCATATTCTAATTGTAATATTGCAAAAAAATTAGCTGTTTATATTTTAGAATAATTACTATTATAAAAATACAATATTTATTAATTATTATAATTAGAAAGATTTAATTTACCTTATATATATAGTAAATATATAATAATAATAATAATAATAAGATAAAAAAAGTGAAGGATTGATCAAATTATATCATATTTAATTGTATATCATATCTTATTTTGATAAGTTATTTTGTAATGTATACTTATTATATAAAAATATATAAATTTTTTTTTTAAAAAAAAAAATAAATTTTTACTTTAATAATTTATATTGTTATCTTACAAATTAGTATTAACGCAAGATTAATAAAGGGATTTAGCTTTTATTTGATACTTTAGGGAGAGCTTTGAAGGGTTTACAAATAATTATTATTTTAGATGATAATATATATTTAGAATAAATTTTGAGGATTTTATTAAAGAATAAAGAATTCGATACAATTATATTTGTTAGCATATAATTGTTATTAGTATTTATCTTGTTAGTGATAAAAACTAATTGAATTTTAAATGTTTACAAAATTATTTTGTTACAGTGATCTATTGCTACCTAATATTATTTTTCTTAACCAAGTCCTAAAGCTATCCTATTTATACTAAATTTGCTAATATAAATAAATAAAATACTAATTGATTATA